GCACAGGGCAGGCAGGAGGCGCTACAAGACCTTCATGATCGACGAGATCCTCTCCAAGGAGACCTGCGACTACTTCGAGAAACTTTCCCTCTACTCCGTCTGTCCGTCCCTCCTCGTCCGGCCCAAGCCGCTGCACTCCTGCGCCGGTAAGACCGCTGCCCCGAAAGAAAAACCTGTGCCCAGGGTTCCGAGGTCACTATTTGCCAGCCAAACCCATCCTCTCCTCTGCAGTGAAGGGGCTCCCCCAAACCAGCCCCTGCCGTGAACCCCAGATTTCTATCCCCGGTAGAAGGGTTTACTCCCACTGCCTGTGTTTTTCAGGGAAGAGGGAATCTTGCGGGCTCATCTCGACATGCGGTGGTGGGATTCAGCCTCCCGGTGTTCACAAGTGATTCAGTGTGAATGGGAGGGGGTTGAGAGGAGCTCAGGTCCTTTAGGAAGCGACAGTGACCTTGTGCTGATTTTTCATTGCCACTTGTACAAAGAAATGAATAGCAAAATCAGAAAAAGGAGAACAAATAGCTCTTGAGACAGTTTTTCGACCCTAAACCCTCTTTTTCTACCCTAAATCCTCTTTTCCTTTGGAAGAAACTAAGCTATTTCTAGTGGTAACGATGTGAAAATACTCGTATTGATGTTGCAAACACAGGCACCACAGCTAAACACACACAAGTACCTCAGTCCTGTGCAGATAAAACACACCAAAATGAGCAGCTGGGTCTTGATCATCAGTATTATTAAATATCACCAGATTTATCTAACATGAGCTTTTCAAATCCACAATAAAAGTAAAAATATCGTTGTTCTAATGCATTCCAGATCCTAAACCAGCAATAAATCCCTCTTTCTGGTGAAGGACGCAGTTTCCCAGGTTTATATTCTTCCCATACTTCCAGTCTTGATACCTGATGTCTTCAAAGAATCAGGTGATGAAATTGCAGAATAAAATATGCTCTTCAACAAAAATCTTAACTCCTGAAAATAATAATTGTAAAGGGATAATTCCCAGGAAACATTCTCTATTTCAAGGTCATAAAATCCTAGTTTTCCTCTTTTTCTTTCCCTTTCCTGGGAAAGTTCATTTTGCATTTGTATTAAGTTTGCTTAAAATTCAAGGCCTGCACATCAGCTTAGGTTTGCTTGGGTTGTTTTTTTTATGGCTGAATATAAAGAAAATGGAACTTTTTGGGTCTTAGCGGAACTGTGCTAATAAAAAACTCTCTCTTGGGGTATCCAAAGAGTTGGACAAGTTGAGTAAACCCTCAGCCCAAGCTTAAGTCTTCCTCCAAACTCAATATAAATACTAACTATTAAAGATCTGGAAGGGATTAGGAGGCTGGATCAGAATTAAGACCCCTGATGACCAGTATTTGGGAAGAAATTACCTGAATGGTGTGATCCTCCTTCAGCATCGCTTTCCTCCGGTTGCTGTTCCTCGCCACCTCTGCCTGATGGCTGACATGGTTTTATACAAAAAGATCTGGTTGTTAATCAAGATATTGCTGAGAAGAGGAGTTTTCAGAGCATAGAGGGGAAAACTCAGTGCTTAGCCAAAATGGGCATGAAGGTCCCAGATGAGGCCAGTTTTGGAGATCGGCACAGAGGGCCTGATTCTGCTTGCGCTGGAGTTGGTGCCGTGGCTTCCACACACTTCCATCTGCCAAGGAGACGAGGTTTCTATCTCCTCCTATATACAGAAAAAGAAAGCATTAGAGAAAATACTCCCCTTAGCACCCAAAAGGAATATTAGCCTGGATATTTACTAACATCCAGAAACACATAGGAATAACTCAGCATCAAAACCTGCATTTTGAGTGTCACCTTTAGGCTAATATTTAATACTTTCGATAGCTGGGGTAGTTCCCAGCAGCTGCTTTGCCTCTCACCACCCCTATTGGAAAGAAAGGAGAAAATTGTTTTTAATAGATACTTCTGTGTCAAGTATAGCAACCATTGTCTTTGCAAGAGTCATCTAGATATTCATTAAATAGCCATTAATAATCCTGCAGTGATTCAGCAGGGGATTCTGAGTGATGCTAGTGAGACTTTTGTGGTTACTGTTCAATTACAGCCTTATTTCTCTTTGTGCCCAGAATCTTCAATGAATTTACCCTCAAGGTTGTGTTTCTAGCCCAAGCTCTGGCCTGTCCCGGTGGCGGGGTGGATTGGGAATATCTGCTTCTAATGGAATAAGCTGTATAAGCTTGAGAAGTGAAGTATGAAGAGACATTTGCCTGTGGGATTAAAACCATAGAAGAAACTGCCACAAAATGCTTCCAAATTGTAAGCTTTCTGAGATTTAGAGGTGTAATTAAAGTCCTATACGTATTATGTCATGGGATTTCTTTTATTATAACAGAGGAAATTCTGTCATGCTCTACAGAATGGACAATACCACAAAAGATAACTAAACGTGTACGAATTTGAACATAGAATCATACCCAATACGAATCTGTTTAGAAAAACATAAAGCAAACCCCCAAAACCCAACCAAAGCCCCCCAAACCCACCAAGGGACTGAAGGCTGCAGAATCCCAGCACTGTAGCATTTAACTTGCCAGCATTCCCTTTTTCTCTGGAGTTAATCGGGAAGCGAGTGAGGGCTTAGAGTCTGTTTGCAGTCTGAGTCTTCACCTGAATCTTAACTTAAATCACAGACATTTACCTGATCAGGGTGGTTGTAGCTGCGACTTGGGGGGGTGTTTGAAAGAGGAATGAGTAACTGAGTTGTTTCAGCTGAGCTCCTCTCCAGCAGCACGGCTTTTTGCAAGGTGGGAGGTAAACTTTGTCGGCGCTTTCACGAGCTGCAGAGTTAATAGTTCTTTCATCTGGGTGAAGTCAGAGAAGCCTGATATGCCTTCAGAATTTATTTGGAGCTGAAAGATGGAAGATGTTGTAGTTGTGCAGTGTGTGTGTGTGTTTAACAACATCCTTAGTTAAGTGAGCTGAAAACCACAGCAAACCAAATGGAAAATGTTTCTTCTTTTGGCCACGATCAAACACTGGTTATTTAAGTGCGTGCAGCTGAGTGGGACAAAACAGATTTGTCAAGTAGAGGGGAGAGGGGCTGGAAGGAGCATTTGGGACTTTTCCTGTGCATGGTGAGGGTGAAGGCTGACTTTTTAGTCACCAGGAGCGTTTGGAGATCTAATGCAAAGCTCGCCTGTCTCACTGCAGGGATTCCCATTGTCAGCCCCAATCAAACCAGAGTGTGTCTGTTTGGGAAATTAAAATGCAATTCCATATAAAAAGGACCCCTCATTAGCTTAAAATTTGGTGTATGAGGATCTATTATGGCATTTCTTGAGCCAAATAAACAAGGAACTCATATTGAATCTGTAGCAAAATGCAGAGCCAGTGTGATTTAAAAGATCCATCTGTGAAACCAGAAATCTCCTCAGATGATGTTTAATAACTCCCTGACTTTTTGAATGTGATGGCTTAGTGAAACCACAGTTTATTTGGTTTTGTGATACTTATATTTTCATTGGCTTTTCAGCTGATGAGATACCCAATTAATTTGTGCAGGTAAATGACCGCAGTGTTAGTTTATCCCCTGCTTGGTTTGTTACAGTGATTTCTGAAGATTGCTTTCAACTGAGCAGAATCCTATAGAGATAATTTCTCAAATTGTCTTTATATAAGACAGTATATGACTTTTATATAAGATAATATGCAGACAACGTATAAGACTTTTATACAAGACAATATGTAGAGAAAACAAATGTCTTTTCAATTTTACCTGTGAAAACATGGGTAGGTGAGTCTATACCAATTCTGGTTTGTTTTCTGGTTTTGTTCAAATCCTGGCTTAGCAACACATTCAAAATCCAATTGCCATATTTGTAGTTCTGGGCATGAGAAAGACTCACTTATCATGGTACAATGTTAGGAGGTCGAACTAGAAATGCTCCATAGTATTAAAATAACTCAAATTGCTGAAAAAGAAAAGCGGGGGGGTGTGTGGGAAGTTGTGCTCCATCCCCAGCAATACTGCAGAATGTGATGTTGTGTGTTAATAATTAACAATTTTGGTCGTGGACATCCTTTCTGAACTATCCAAATGACCTGAGCTGGCTGGATTAAAAAGAACTGCATTGCCTCTTCTGAGAGCGAGCTGCAGGCGTTGAGTTTATTTCAGCAGAGCAGGACAGGCTATTTAGTGTCTATGCCGTGTGTGTATTTCTACTAGGACGTACTCCAGAGCTCATAAAAAACCCCACTTAAATTTGAAAGTATTGTAGTGATTTATCATTGAAATCGCACCAAGGTTTTTACTAGCGTGTATCTCAGGTCGGACTGAGATATGAGAGATAAAGATAAAAGAGAAAGAAAAGACTTTCTTTCTCTTTTACCCGCTGCAATCGTGATACTAGAACAAGGTCTTGCATGAATGTGGTTTTGGAGGCAGAAAGGTGCTTTAAATCCGCTTTTCTGAGAGATGAGCTACTTGAATTTCCACTCTTGTGAGGGGAGTTGTGTTAAAGGGGATTGCACCACTCTGTGTGTATCTACAAGTGCCACAACTTCTGAAAGTGGACATAACCTTTATTTTCTCAACTCGTTTGAACATTTACTACTATTGCTCTGTCTAGGCAACCAGTTGCCTTTAAAGAACACTCGTAATAATGATTTGCTTCCTTGAAATGATTATTGGGGTTGTTGGTTGTGGGTTTTTGTTGTTTGGGCGTTGTTTTAATGTAGACAGGTATCTAGTATAAAATGGTTCAAAACTTGCATTCTTCTTTTCCAGTTCTTTCATCTGTCTCCTGTTGTTTTATCTTGAGATAAAATTGGGAACTGCTTATCCCAAAGTTGTTTTTTGAGCTGGTGGTTTACGGGTATCTTTGGTGTTTTCTGGATTATGCTAAGCAATTCCTGCAACCACTGGGTCCTGCAGGGAATCCTTTTGTGTTAAAGTGGGAGCTTTGATATTCCTGGTCCCTGCTTAGTCTTACTAGCCTCTCTAGGAAACACATGGTGAGAAAGTGAATTATCGTGTCCCAAACCAGCTCAGTCTTTATGTGTGACCGCACAACGAGTTTCCTTCTGAGTCTTTTCACAAAGCCTTGATCTAGGCACGGGTTGAATTTGCTCTGGGACACCATTTCTTTTGCTCAAAGACTTGCTGAACCTTTCTCCTTTA